TAACATAAAACGAAAGGTTCGTGCAGAGCTTCCAAGGCTCCTGGTGAAGCAGATTTAGAAAGAAAAATTTGTATGGAGTCTCCCCCCACCACAACACCACCACTTCCCCTTCCATCATTGCAAAATGTTTCTCTTCTGGCATGTGATCATGTTAGAAGAACTTCGCTTATATAACCAGAAGCTCTTGGTGCTGCCACAAGGCTCATTTTTGCTGCAAAGTGGGTCACATCCACCATACATTCAAAACATGTGGCCTCCCCAATAGAATCCTAGAAACAGTAGTTTCTTAAGGGTGCTGGGTACAGTTCCCAGGGTTCTTTGGGGGAAGCCATGTGCTTTAAATATGTATTGTATGATAGGACTTGTTTCTTCATATCCTTCTTTGTCCATGATCACTGCAGATGGTGACAGCAGTCACGAAATTAAAAGACTCCTGCTTCTTGGGAGGAAAGCAATGACAAACCTAGACAGCATCTTAAAAAGCAGAGACATCACCTTGCCAACAAAGGTCCGTATAGTAAAAACTATGGTTTTCCCCGTAGTGATGTATGGAAGTGAGAGCTGGACCATAAAGAAGGCTGATTGCTGAAGAATTGATGCTTTTAAATTATAGTGCTGGAGGAGACTCTTGAGAGTCCCATGGACTGCAAGAAGAACAAACCTATCCATTCTGAAGGAAATCAACCCTGAGTGCTCACTGGAAGGACAGACCCTGAAGCTGAGGCTCCAATACTTTGACCACCTCATGAGAAGAGAAGACTCCCTGGAAAAGACCCTGATGTTGGGAAAGGAGAATGGGACGACAGAGGATGAGATGGTTGGACAGTGTCCTCAAAGCTACCAGCATGAGTTTGACCAAACTGTGGGAGGCAGTGGAAGACAGGAGTGCCTGGCGTGCTCTGGTCCATGGGGTCACGAAGAGTCGGACATGACTAAACAACTAAACAACAACAATCCTTCTTTGTAGGCTTCCAAGAGGCTAGTATTGGACACAGGATGTTAGACTAGGTAGACCTTTGGTTTGATCCAGCAAAACTCAACTTATGTTTTAGTGGCATCAGAAATACACCCTAACACCTTGTCAAATAGCACATAGCCAATTGTGGTAATTGTGGTGCTCACAGAAGCATTTAGAAAAGCTCAGACCAAAGGTCAACCTCTCCCAGGTTTCTGTTCCCACATTGGCCAAGCGCATGCTTATGGGAAGCCCACAAAAACACTGGGTGATTATTCAACTAAGTTTTACGCACAGTAGACCTGTTGAAATTAAAGGGCCTGTCTTAGTCATATTCATTTCGTTGAGACTGTTCTGAGTAGAACTTAGTTGAATACCACCCATTTTCCCCACTTGCGCTCCTCAGGAACTGGCATTTGGAGGAATGTTGCTTCTGAAGCGGGAGCTAATATATATAGTCCTGTGAATATATAGCCTTGACCTCTGTGAATTTCTCCAACTCCCTTTAAAAGTCATCCAAGTTGCTGGCCATCACTATTTACCTTGTGGAGGTCAGCCTCTGTAATGGTTTGTGGATAAAAAGCTTTGAACCTGATGCAGTGGGTGAACTTGCATTAACCCAATGAAGAACCACAGCAGAAGATGCCATTTCTGTATCCATCATGCAAGTTAGCAACTGCACAAACTGTGAAACGGAACAGTTTAGTACTCAGTCTAGACTTGATAATCAAGGCTATTTCATGCATAGTGCAATATGTCCCGGATGTGTTTTATAAAATTTCCCCTTGCCCAGAGGTTTTGACCAAAAGAGCACCCCACTGCAGATCTAGTAACAAAACCCGAAGGAAACTGTCAAATTACTAACAATGGTCCCCCAAAGTTGTTTTTGGGGTTTTTTAATCTAGTTACATATAAGGATCATCTAAGTGGGTTAAACCACAAAAGTTTTACTTTTGCTGCTGTGTAATGCTAAAAGCATTTACGTAGCAGTATTAATAGCTGCCTTGGGAAACTCCCTTGTATTAATAGAACAGGTTGTAACAGCCTGTGTTTCTGTGGGAGTAATTATAGTATTCTTCTTGTGTTATTTGGTCTGAGCGTGCTGGTTTGAAGAAAGATCTTGATAAGTGGGCAAGTCGAAAAGCAAAATGAATCCAGAATGTCAGTGTTTACAAATACAGCCCTGTGCTGAAAACCAATCCTGTAGCAACATACTCATTGATATCAGAGAGCCAACAGAGGGCCCTGGAAGATCTAGGCCAGAGTATCAAATAACTCCTCTCTGCATTTCTGCATCATTCCTGTGTGCTTGCATTTTGCTGAGTTCATTCTTATCGTGCATGTAATAAAACCTCTGGGTATTTATACATTTCTCTCCAGCTACGGCTGAAACATACTTCTGTTGTTTCAAAGCAGGCCTGTGCAAGTTGTGACCAAGCCAGCCAGCCAAATGCAGCCCACAGCCCATCCATCATGGCTTTCCTGACAATCCCTTTGTAGAACCCAGTCCCAAATGCAGATTTATTGCACCCATTGGTGGACTGACTGCACAACCTGTGGGCTACATTTGGCTTGATAGGTCACAGATAAGACAGACCTGTTTGTTCCAGGGAAGAAGACCGTCAGCAGAATGTCTCTGACGTGTACCTGGTAGCGGGCAGCAGCAGTACCATGAATGCTGGCTTCGAGATGACATTTTAATTTCCTGCAATGCCATGGAGCGTCCCTGACGTCGCCCCAGTAGGAGCTGCAATTTCAGTTTCCCACAATGCCCCAGAGTGATGCTATATCAGGGGCAATCCACGGCATTGTAGGAATTTTGAATGAAAATGGAAGGAAAATTGACTGCCGGGTTCCATGAACGCTATCAAAGGAAGCCCAAGCCGGATGACTGGTGGGGTGTGCGCACAGGCACAGGCGGGGGGATAATGTCATAAGTCCTGTAGAAGTGCCATGCAGGGAACTGTCAAATCCCAAGGAAGAATAGAAGGAGCTCAGAGAGTTGAAGGACCCTGGGGAACATCCTAGCAAGATGGCTGTAATGGGAGGGAACCCTTAGGGAAGGGTTCAGTGGCATGGAGGAGGCTCCAAGTGGGTTGTCAAAGGAGAGCCCAACTTCTGGGATATTGGGCACCCCTAAACCAGTGCCTTGTGCTGCAGAACAGACTCGAGCACCACCGCCTGTCAGGGAAGAGGTGAGTGGAAGTAAGAGCTCACCCACACTTCTGCAAGCAGGGCTCTGAGTGATTTTCCACTTGTCCCGTGCTTTCTTGGCATGGGTTCGGGTAGTTCTGCCTTTCCCCTGCCACTTTCCTTTCCCGCAGAAAACCCGCTCTTTAGCGCTAATTGGAGCAAATGGCAATCTGCAGAAAACCCCTTTGCCGTTCGTTTCAATTCGGCACTAAACTGCAGGTTTTCCAAGAGGAAAGAATCGGGGTAAATGGAAGCGTGGCTGAGCCCTGAGTCTGTTGCTGAGCTGGCCCTGACTCTGCCACCATCTCCACAGAGACGTCAGTGCAAGCAAACCTCACAGAGGCACTTGAACCTCTCGGAGTGACTGTTTGGTTGCTCAGTCTCAGGACTCTGGCCTCTTGCTGCGCAAGTAGCTGTGTCCTCCCTTCTCTTCAAAAGCAAGTAGCAGGGGGAGTGTCACTTGTTGGGTCAACGCCTTAGCATATGCTTAGCCATGTATCCTACCGCTTACCTTCCTGCTGAACATTGCAGCCTGTGGTTTGCCTTACGTACCAATCTGATCTGAACCTTAAAGCCTTTGGCAGAAGGAGAGTTGGGTTCTCCATCCGGCAGTGAGGGCCATGACATTCTTTGGTGTCAAGCTCAGCACAGGGGACCCTCTTGATAGTTTGGCTGCCCTCAAGAGCTTGAGGGGCTGGCCCAGGAGAGGGTGTTCTCTGTGGAAACTCTTAAGTTGTGAACTCATCCCCTCCTCAGAGGTGTGTCTCACCTTCGTTATCTGGCTTCCAGCATATGCTAAAGATTCACCTCTTTCACAAGGCCTTAGATATATGAGATATATATTTTTGGGGGCCCACTCTATTCCTGTGACTGTAATTTGTTTTAAACTGTTTTTAATATACATTTTTAAACTGCTGTAACTCACTCTGGGACCTTATAGTGAAGGGTGGGTAAGAAATTGAAATAATAATAATAATAGTAGTAGTAGCAGCAATTTTATGCTTTATTATCACAAGCTATTGAATCCAAAACTATTAGCGTTTTTGCCCGCTTTTCTCACACACACACACACACACACACACACACACACACAAACCCCTCACTGAAATGGAGGGGGATTCAAGTGGCCAAATATATTCATAAAACATAGCCCTCCATAGTGCTCAAATTAGTATTGCAAACATGAGGGCATAAGGGTATTCATCCGCTGCTTATTGACTCTGCGCTTGTTTAAAAAAGTAATTTCTAAGTTATTAAGAAGCAACATATTTCCCTAGGGAGTATCATGGGGAAAACACGAAGCTCTCATAAAGAGCGCTCCAAAGATTAGGAAAAAATGTTATCTATTTTGCTGAGTTTCTAAGAAAGATACTCACCAGAAAGTCAATGCTGAACTCCCTTAGAAATCGCATGCCAGGAAATCTCTCGACAGCAACATTCTTGACAGTTCCCAGGACTTCTCAGACAGAACAGTTGGCTGTCTTCTTTATGTATTAAAAAAGTGGGTTTTTGACACTGCTTGTTGCTTATTGATACTGACTACTGCCTAGTACCTGGCACTGGAAGAAGACACAGCATTGCCACCTGTGTGTTTCATGACTACGGTTTAAAGCAGTCTCCCCTAACCTGGTAGCCATGAGCTGTTTTGAACCACAACTTCCATCCGCTCCTGCCAGGACAGCCATATCAGCGAGCCTCCCCTCTTACGAAACCACATTAGAGATAAAGTCCGGTTGGAGGTCTTCCTGACCTTCAGAGGAGGGCTCCTCCTAGTTTCTTATAGCCTGTAACCAGGGATTTAACTGCCAACTAAATGAGCATCTGCTGATGTGGTCAATATCACTGACCAACTTCACCAATATTTTTGCCCCTTGTGTGGCAATAATATGATTTAGTCACTATGGCTGTGTACACGCTACTAACTTTAAAAGCAGCTAGGTAGTAATTTTTTCCAATTTGGATCAAAACTGGTTTGGGGGGAAATGCATCAAAATGGCATGTCAAATGGCAGTACAGATGTGGACAGTGGAAAACGTCGTGTTTACCATTGGAGCGCATTGGACCCAGAGTAAATGGAAGTGTGTATTCAGTCTCTGTAAATGAGATTCAGCCTAAGCCCAACGATTTGCATGCTATTGGAGTCTGCAAATTAAACAGAAACATGCTATTGGCAGCATTCATTATGACTGCCGTATCTGTGGCAAAGGTTCCCCCAAACAGAGCCCCTTACCTGCATCTTTTTCTTTCCCTTATAGAATCTCAATATTTATTTTTAAATTGTTGACTTTGAATTTTCAGCAAATTCTTTTAGATCTAGTCTTGTCCGCTTGGTAAAGTCCAGCCCAAACCCACCTCATTCCCCGCACCAAGTAAAATGTTAAGATGTAATACAGGGGCATTCTTCAACATGCAGACATGTGCCAGGAGACTACTGAAAACTAAACTCTTGGTGACAGGTGGAATTAAAAGATTCCACTTGTTCTCCAGAGAAATGAAGCTGAAGGATTATTACTAATGGAAGAGTCTTGCAGCTAGAGATAAAGCTGTTTAAGTGCTATCTCCACCTTCTTTGGGTGCTTCATGGCACATCTAAGCCCTAGTCAGGCATTCCCCTGGCCGCGTGTGGGCTAAACATGTAAGCTCTACCCACAATGTCCCTGGTGCACCCTGGATCCACTTCCGATCTTCTTGCACTCCCACATCAAATGCATTGGTAAGCCTATGTCAGGGCCTCAGATGTTTGCAGAACTGCAAGTCTTGGATGTTAAGTTTTTATTGGTTCAATCAGATGTTCAGACCCACCATAGGCACTTAACTGAGTGCTCAATTCCATTGTTTTTTGTTTGTTTGTTTTGCATACGGCATTCTAACCCATGGCTTTGGACATGCGGGGAAATGCAATGCCAGTCCCATTAAAAACGTGCCTTTGTTCAAGCACCTCTTTCACAATATCCTGCACCTGGAGTATGCTGTGCCCTTGGTACAGACCACCCTTTGTCCCAAGTTCACTTCAGGAGAGCTTGGAATTTGGGTATTGAAGCAGCTCAACAACAGAGGCCTGGGGTCTTTCCTCACTGAAAGCAGCAACAACATGTAGTGAGTTCTGCATGTTGTAGTTCTAGTACAAAGATGAGGAACCTGTGGCCCTCCAGGTATTGATTTATTCCAGCTCCCATCAGCTCCAACCACATTGGCTATCCTTGTTACAAAAAACAGGCGATGGGAAATGGATTGATTAAATTCAGAAGTAGCCCTTATTTAGGAACATAGCAAGCTGGCTTATACAGAGTCGGACCATTGGCAGCGGCTCTCCAGAGTTCAGTCAGGGAGTGTCCCCTAGTTCTCTTTGGAGATGCAAGGGACTGAGCCTTGGACCTTCTGAATTATTATTATTGTTGTTGTTGTTTCCTTATTTATATGCCATCCATCTGACTGGGTTACTCCAGCCACTCTGGGCAGCTCCCAACAAAATATTAAAAACACAGTAAAATGTCAGCCATTAGAAACTTCCCTGAACAGGGCTGCCTTCAGATGTCTTCTAAAAGTCAAATAGTTGTTTATCTGTTTGACATCTGATGGGAGGGTTTTGCAAAGGTTGGGAGCCACTACCGAGAAGGCCCTCTGCCTGGCTCCCTGTAGCTTCACATCTCGCAGTGAGGGAACGCGGTGAGGCATAAGAAACATTTCAAATCCTTTGGTTTGAGTTTAGCGTCCATCAGAGACAAGCAGGAAGTATCAATATGCAACATGCAGTGTTTATAAATTGCTGTAGTTGTTTAAGAAGCTGTGCTGCGGAACTATGCGGTCACCCTGTACAAAGAAAGCACCAAACAAAAAGAACAAACAGAAAACACTACTGACACCCCAAAATAAGACAATATTCAGGTGACTTCCTTCTGTGGTTTGGCACTTTAGTTGCGAATGCAATTTGTACAGATCTTTAATGCTTATCAAATGCAGCATCTTTGCACATAAGAAGGGAGACTACAATGTGTGCTTGCTATGGTTTCAAAATATACCGTGTACCAAACAATCCCCAGACATCTGAAGTTTAAGCATCTATTCACAGCCCTGTAGGTTTCAGCAGAAAGATTAAAAGCACACACTGCATGGTAAATGATTCAGAGAGGAGAAACAAGGGGAGACATTCAAACGTCAGCAAACCAGAAAATGTTCTGCATGTAGAAACAGATATAGATATGTATGGCTTGTAACGGGATGCTGCACCATGGCAAAAAAAAAAGCTCCAAGCAACAGCTGGAACTGGGGTTTCAAAGGGACAAAATCGGAGGGGCTTAGAACACAAGAGGAGCCCCACGGAATGAGACCAAAGGCTGATCTAGTCCAGCATAAGGTTCTCAGACCTCCTAACTCACATGGTGGACTGTGAGAACTAAAAGCTTGGTAGCCTTCCTCCCAAGGTGACAGGAAGGGACTTACCGAAGCCTGGAAGAACAGCTTAGTCTAGGGCAGTGTTTTTCAAACTTGTGCCCCCAGCAGTTGTTGGACTACAACTCCCATCATCCCTAACCTAGCTAGGGATGATGGGAGTTGCAGTCCAACAACAGCTGGGGGTCACAAGTTTGAGAAGCACTGCTCTATGGTCTTAACCTCTTCATGCATTAATTGGACTTAAACATACTGGTTATATCAGGCTGGTTTATATATCAGGCAGATATTTATATTGCTCAGCATGAAGCAAATGGATGCATAAAAGCTGACTCCTTTTGTAATAAAAATTGTCCAGACCCATAATTATGATTCAAAGCTTTACTAACCAGAACTTTTTCAAAACAGGTACAATACAATCAATGATGTATCCAGAAGGTTGTATAAAGCATGCATATTCAAGCATTGGTTCTTCTTCTTAAATCTATAACTTAATTATGACTAGAATAAAACTCAAATCTATCTCTCTCCCATAGCTTGGATTAGCCTGCATCCAGCCTAAGGCTATGCAGCTCCTGGAGAGCCATCATTATCACACCCTTTCTCTGACTGTGCCTGGGAACGAAAGGGAAAAGCCAACTCCCTTCAGAATGGTGGATTTTCAGTTGAATACCTTAATCACATGATCTAAGGTTAAACACTCGTGTGAAGGTTAGCAGAAAACACCAGCCTTTAATTGTCAACTCAGCTAGAAGCTCTTTCTAGCTTCATCTACTTAAATGGAGTTTTCCAGTGTTAAACCCTTAGTAAAATACATACAGGCATTCTCCATTTCAATGTGAATTCAACCATTATACGTACCATGGTTATTCCGCTCCGCCCACCACCCCAATACACAGCTGCTTTCTTTGCATGATCCAGGAAACAAACCATGATCCATGGTTGACTTTGGCTCCCCACTATGATCTCTATGGTTAAAGGCTTCCAAACAAGCCAGATTTGGGATCCAGCTTTAAAACATGGTATAAAGATTTTCCATGCTTTTCTGACCCATAGCTCCACTGGGGAAATACGTAGCTGTTTTAGTGCATATACACATACACAAATCACAGTAAGAGCTCTGTTACCCGTCACTTCTGAGTTTCCAGCCAAGAGAAAGCCCGGGCCAGATGAAGATAAACCAGGGGGAAAGTAAATATAGCTGTGATTAAAATGTAGGTCACTCCATTTCAGGCAACAATGTGCAAGCGTTCCTGCAGGATCTTGTGTCATAGAATAATTGAGTGCAGCTTTTGAGTGGACAGTTTCTGTTGGCTGAGATTCCGAAGTGAGAAGGAACTGAGAACTTAGCGCAATCCATCTCTGCGTGTCCCATATACAGCCTTGGCCTAAAAGGCAATGATGAAACATCCCACCGGGCAGGGGTTGGAAAGCAGAAATTTTTCCATAACTCTTGTGATCCCAGCATAAAGCAACTGCAGGGCATCAAGGGACAGTAAGCAAGAGGCAAGAAGAAATATAAAGAAGGGGAAGCATTCAGAAGAGGATCTGGCAAACTCTGTGCCCTTTAATTTAGAGGACAAACACACAGCGATGCATTTGAAACAAAATGGATATGCAGAAAGAAAATACTAGAAACTAGCTTGATAATTCTGGAACAGGAGGATGAAATTAGGACACCTTAGACCATTCACTTACAATGCATGAAGTTGCCAGCCTCTGAACCTCTCATGGAAGGGGCACACCAAGAAGGGCCTCAGATCATGATTGCAGGGTCTGGGTTGGTTCATATGGGGAGAGGCAGTCCTTGAGATATTGCAGTCCTGAGCCATTTAAGGTTTATAGATCAAAATCAACACTTTGAATTGGACCTGTAAACTAGCAGGCAGCCAGTGCAGTCAGGCCAAGATTGGTGTTGTATGTTCGAACGATCTTGCCCCAGTGAGCAACCTGGTCCCCAAATTCTGCACCAGCTGAAGTCTCCAAACCATCTTCAGAGGCAGCCCCATGTATAACAATTGCAGTAATCTCACATAGAGATTGCCAGCGCATAGACAAAAGTTAGGCTAACGCTGTCCAGAAAGAGCTACAGCTGGGCCACCAGCCAAAGCTGATGGAAGGCACTTGGCGCCACCAAGGCTATCTGAGCCTTAAGAAACAGCAATGAATCAAGAAGTCTTCTTCTTCTTTGGCAATCACTTGTAGCCGAGTAAGATTGTCTTCCATGAACACGGTCCTAACGGTGAGTCCATAAGTGACTGTGGAGGCCAATTCAAGTTGTGTACGCACTCCTTCAGAGGAATTGTAGCCGCAACAAGAGCAGGCCACCTCCCACCCATTTGGTCTAGGAAACCACCCAACAACAGTGCCTCGGTTTTATATGGATTAGAATCATAGAATTGTAGAGTTGGAAGGGACCCTGAGGAACATCTAGTCCAACCTGCATTGCAGGAATATGCATCTGTCCCATATGGGGATCAAACCTGCATCCTTGGTGTTATCAACACCAAGCTCTAACCAACTGAGCTATCCGCTTGAATTGAGCTTTAGTTTGTTCCATTCCATTACCAAGGTGAGACAATATAATTATTAATTAACCATGTCTGAAATGTGAACTTCTGGTGACATGCTGAAAGAGAAGGCTGGTGTCCAGATTATTTTTCTGTGGCTAAGTGGCCTTCTGAATGCTCCAGCCCATGTCAAGATCAATGTTCCCCGTGTGCCCCCAAATCCCTTTGAAAAATGGGCTAAATCAGTGCCATCCCTAGTATTAGGCAGCAGAGTCCGAGATATTGTTAATGGGCAGCAAACTGCAACCTATATATATAGTTTATGTGTCTCACTGACCAAAATATCTTGGGCACCCCGGGGGTAAATCATGAACACACTCCAAATCATTCCCAAACTTGATTGCTACACCAAAATCTCCAAAATGTGGCCTCATGTTGACTTCACCATTCAATTCAATTCACCACACTACCCTGGACTTAGACAATGTTTGCTTCAGGTTCCTGCATATGAGCAAAGCTGAAAACAAGCTGGCTTGTGCATGCCGACATCTTGCGCAAGCCCCTTTCAATTGCCAAGACTCCATCATCAAGGGATGGAAGTGTTCCTAAAGTTTCTCATGTCAAGCCAGGTGCATATAGTGATGAAACATTCTCCCAAAGACAGCTTGACCTCGACAGCCCACAGGTGCAGGCTTCCTTTCAGTTATCAATCAAGATCTGGAGCAGCAAAGCTGGCTTCGTATCATCTTCCCAACAAAGCAGAGGGTGTTCGGTGGGAGGGTGGTGACTGCTTCTCTCAGGGACGTCCACTACTGGCCAACTCAAAGTCTGAAAGTATCAGCACAGCAAAGAGAGACACATGTCAACCAACACTGAAGTCCATCTCTCTCTCTCTCTCTCTCTCTCTCTCTCTCTCTCTCTCGTCTCTCTCTTCATGCTGTTGCAATTGTTGGGACTATTCTTTGGATGTGACAGGATATGTCGAGGAAGCACTTCTTAAAAGGGCATTGTCATTTCAAAGGTTAGCCCCTCAAAAAATTCTTGTAATTGATAGTTTCTGTGCATAACTTTGAAAAAGCAATTCTTTTAATTTTATGGCTTACTTCTTGTAAGCTGCCTTGAGAACAGGAAGGGTGGCGTGTCAAATAAACATAAAAATAAATGCACCTCTAAGTCCTGATTGCAGTTTCTCAAAAATTTTAGTACGGCGGTTTTATGTCTGTCTCAAATTTCAAATTAGATCGGGGTCACCAACCTTTCTGGGTCCACGACAAACTAGAGAAACTGCAGTGGGCACCACACACCAGTGGTGTAGCGTGGGTTGCCAGTGCCTGGGGTTGCGCGGAGGGGAGGAAGGGAAACAGATGGAGTACGCATGCGCATTCAACTGCCCAATGGCATTTGCATCACCCAAGAGGTCACAGTCACAGAGATAAGAAAAGAGTCGTTTAATTGTCTGGAGAGGTCACTTCCTGGTTCGCATGGAAAAGCCATTTTCAATGGAGTTCACAGCTGTATTGAGGCAGCACTGGGTGTTGAAATTTTGTTCTCCCTAACAATTTTGCAACTGGGGCAGCCGCCTCTGTGTCCCCATGTTGCGCCACTGCCATACACACACCCCACCACAATGTATACAGTGCAGCCATGCACATCTGCATGCACACTTAGCCACACACTCATTTCGGAAGGATTAACCTTCCCTTCCCTAGTTGTGATCCTCAAAAACATGCCCCATTGCCACAACTAGGCTTTCTAGCCAAATTTTGGCAGACAGGAGGAGGGGATCAGGGCTCTGTGGGCACCAGGAAAAACATCAACGGGCACATGTGTGCATGTAGGTCTTGTGTTCAGGACCCATGAATAAGACAGATGGAAAGACAGATATATAAGATACTAGCCTCAATGTGCCATCTTACCCTATGGAAGGCTATATTTCATTTTCTTTTCTATGCTTTTACTGGCGCTCAGAGTAGCCGCACAGAATCCTGCAAAAGAAAACATACATACCCCAATTCAGTGGCACAGGTCCACGTACATGAAGAGACTTACAGGGGCATATCACCATTTAAGTCAAGAATTTCCATCATAAATCAGATATAAATTCAAATAAATAAATGTCTGAGTGGGGGGAGAAGTCTATCCACACTGTATTGCTTTATTTTTATTTTTTTAAATATTTATTCAAATTTTAAGATTACAGAAAAAGAAAAAAGGAAAAAAGGAAAAACAAATCACATACATCCTACAAGAAAAACACACAATACAAAGAAAAATACACAAGACAGAAAATCACAGTAAAAAATAACAAAAGAAAAATTCAACTTAAGCCATTAAAACCGTTTTCCCATTTACTTATTTCCGTGACTTCCTCTCACTTCTCTGCTTTGTATTCTAATTCAAATCGTATCTCCAGCAAATCCTTCTAACCTTCTTTTCATTTGCTTATTTTAACATTCAAAAATATTTAATTCTCCTCTATCTTTTATTTTACACTTCATATTTACTTATTCCATTATACTCTGTCTGCCAATACGGTCTAATATTCTTCTCCAACCTTTTCTAACATTCTTTTATATTACAGTATTTCTGAAGATATGTTTTAAATTTTTTCCAATCTTCTTCCATCGACCCTTCTTCTTGATCTCGAATTCTGCCGGTCATCTCAGCCAGTTCCATATACAGTGGTGCCCCGCAAGACGAACGCCTCGCAAGACGAAAAACCCGCTAGACGAAAGGGTTTTCCGTTTTGGAGGCGCTTCGCAAAACGAATTTCCCTATGGGCTTGCTTCGCAAGACGAAAGCCCATAGGGAAATCTCCGGTCCGCGAAGCCTGGGCGCGCTGATCTCAGCGCGCGCAGGCTTCGGCATGCCGGCAACTCTCCGCGAGCAGCGGCAGCGCTGCCGCTGCTCGCGGAGAGGTCCGCGAAGCCTGGGCGCGCTGATCTCAGCGCGCGCAGGCTCCGGCATGCCGGCAACTCTCCGCGAGCAGCGGCAGCGCTGCCGCTGCTCGCGGAGAGGTCCGCGGAGCCTGGGCGCGCTGATCTCAGCGCGCCCAGGCTTCGGCATGCCGGCAACTCTCCGCGAGCAGCGGCAGCGCTGCCGCTGCTCGCGGAGAGGTCCGCGACGCCTGGGCGCGCTGATCTCAGCGCGCGCAGGCTTCGGCATGCCGGCAACTCTCCGCGAGCCGCGGCAGCGCTGCCGCTGCTCGCGGAGAGGTCCGCGAAGCCTGGGCGCGCTGATCTCAGCGCGCGCAGGCTTCGGCATGCCGGCAACTCTCCGCGAGCAGCGGCTGCCGCTGCTCGCGGAGAGGTCCGCGAAGCCTGGGCGCGCTGATCTCAGCGCGCGCAGGCTACGGCATGCCGGCAACTCTCCGCGAGCAGCGGCAGCGCTGCCGCTGCTCGCGGAGAGGTCCGCGAAGCCTGGGCGCGCTGATCTCAGCGCGCGCAGGCTTCGGCATGCCGGCAACTCTCCGCGAGCAGCGGCAGCGCTGCCGCTGCTCGCGGAGAGGTCCGCGGAGCCTGGGCGCGCTGATCTCAGCGCGCCCAGGCTTCGGCATGCCGGCAACTCTCCGCGAGCAGCGGCAGCGCTGCCGCTGCTCGCGGAGAGGTCCGCGAAGCCTGGGCGCGCTGATCTCAGCGCGCGCAGGCTTCGGCATGCCGGCAACTCTCCGCGAGCAGCGGCAGCGCTGCCGCTGCTCGCGGAGAGGTCCGCGGAGCCTGGGCGCGCTGATCTCAGCGCGCCCAGGCTTCGGCATGCCGGCAACTCTCCGCGAGCAGCGGCAGCGCTGCCGCTGCTCGCGGAGAGGTCCGCGAAGCCTGGGCGCGCTGATCTCAGCGCGCGCAGGCTTCGGCATGCCGGCAACTCTCCGCGAGCAGCGGCAGCGCTGCCGCTGCTCGCGGAGAGGTCCGCGAAGCCTGGGCGCGCTGATCTCAGCGCGCCCAGGCTTCGGCATGCCGGCAACTCTCCGCGAGCAGCGGCAGCGCTGCCGCTGCTCGCGGAGAGGTCCGCGAAGCCTGGGCGCGCTGATCTCAGCGCGCGCAGGCTTCGGCATGCCGGCAACTCTCCGCAAGCAGCGGCAGTGCTGCCGCTGCTTGCGGAGAGGTCCGCGAGCCTTGGCTGGACAGCTTTTGAAGGCAGGTGGGGGGACAAAGACTTTCGCCCCGCCAACCTTCAGAAGAGGTCCAGGACCTCTTCTGAAGGCTGGCGGGGGCAAAGTCTTTGTCCCCCTGCCTGCCTTCCCAGGGGCTTTAAATTGCCCCGGACAGCGGAGAAGTCCTCCGCTGTCCCGGGGCAATTTTAAAATGCCGCCCGCCAGCATTTTAAGATCGCCCGGACAGCGGAGAAGCTCTCCGCTGTCCCGGGGTTTTAAAATGCTGGGGGTGGGAAGAAAAGCCCTTGTCCCCCCCAGCCTTCAGAAGAGGTCGGGGACAGACTGTCCCCGGACCTGGTCTGAAGTCGGTTTCCTAGGAACGCATTAATTGATTTTCAATGCATTCCTATGGGAAACCGTGCATCGCAAGACGAAAAACTCGCAAGAAGAAAAAACTTGCGGAACGAATTAATTTCGTCTTGCGAGGCACCACTGTAGTCTATCACTTTTCTCTGCCATTCTTCTCGGGTAGGCAATTCTTGTGTCTTCCAGTATTTCCCAATGAGTATTCTTGCTGCTGCTGTCGCATACATAAAAAAATTTCTGTCTTCCCTTCGCACCAATTGACCGACCATGCCCAAGAGGAAGGCCTCTGGTTTCTTCAAGAAAGTATATTTCAATACCTTTTTTAATTCATTATATATCATTTCCCAGAAGGCCTTGATCTTTGGGCACGTCCACCAAAGGTGGAAAAAAGTACCTTCATTTTCTTTACATTTCCAGCATTTATTATCAGGCAGATGATAAATTTTTGCTAGCTTGACTGGGGTTAAGTACCACCTGTAAATCATTTTCATTATATTTTCTCTTAAGGCGTTACAGGCCGTAAATTTCATACCTGTGGTCCATAACCGTTCCCAGTCAGCAAACATAATGTTATGCCCAACATCTTGCGCCCATTTAATCATAGCAGATTTGACCATTTCATCCTGTGTATTCCATTTCAACAGCAGATTATACATTCTTGACAGATTTTTAGTTTTAGGCTCTAACAGTTCCGTTTCCAGTTTAGATTTTTCCTCCTGGAAACCAATCTTTTTGTCTAAATTAAAAACCTCCCTTATTTGATAATAATGCAGCCAATCTCGAACTTTAGTTTTTAATTTGTCGAAGCTCTGCAATTTTAGTTTATCACCAACTTGTTCTAAAATTTCACAATATTTTGGCCAGTTTATCTCCATATTAGTTTTTTTCAATGCCTTTGCCTCCATTGGTGACAGCCACCTTGGTGTTTTACTTTCCAACAAATCCTTATATCTCACCCACACATTAAACAATGCTTTCCTGACAATATGATTCTTGAAGGCCTTATGCGCTTTAACTTTGTCATACCATAGATATGCATGCCATCCAAAGACGTTATCAAAACCTTCTAGATCCAAAATGTCCACATTTTCAAGAAGTAGCCAATCTTTCAGCCAGCAAAAAGCGGCTGATTCATAGTAAAGTTTAAGATCTGGCAGGGCAAATCCCCCTCTTTCCTTCGCATCTGTTAATATCTTAAATTTTATTCTAGGTTTTTTGCCCTGCCAGATAAATTTAGAAATGTCTCTTTGCCACCTCTTGAAACAGTCCATTTTGTCCACAATTTGTAATGTTTGAAACAAAAACAACATTTTGTTTGAAACAAAAACAACATTCTAGACACTGTATTGCTTTAAAGGGGGTGAGCAATCTGGAGTGTATTTAAATGCACATTCCCCACACACATTCTTGCGCAACTAATTGCATGTTATCATCTTGCTTATGTGCAACCAAAACGAGATCAGGGCTTAATTATTCAAAAGTATTCAACTGAAAACCAGCATGCACAAATGTCTTCAAATATCTGATGGTTTACGGTGCAGAACACTTTTTCTCTGTTCTTCCGGAGGGCAGGAATAATAGAATCATAGAACTGGACAGTTGGAAGGGACCTTGAGGGTCATCTACTCCAGGTCCCTGCAGTTTAGGAATCACAGCTCAAGAATCCCTGACAGGTGGTCATCTGACCTCCGCTTAAAAATCTCCAGTGAATGAGAGCCCTCCATCTTCCGAGGTAGTCCTTTCCACTGCCGAACAGCTCTTAGTATCAGAAAGTTCTTCCTAATGGTTAGTCTGCCCAACTGCATTGGAGGCCAATTAGTGCTTAATCATAATAAGCATAAAGCCTTAATCATGACAAACCAGGAGGTTGGGTGGACCTGTGGAAGCCTGGCTTCATTTGGGTCCATTTAAGCCTACTGTTCTTGGAGGCAGCAGTGCATTCAGTTAACTGTCACAACTTGTCGGCGGAAAAAGGCATTGGGTTGGATCCTTAGTCTAAACAAGTGGGTGGGAACAAGCCACTTCATGGTCAAAGTATCATGGTACCCTAGTAAACATGTCTGCGGGCGGGGGGGGGGAGAGGTTCCTGTCCAAATGCCTAGACAGGGGCTAACAGGACTAGCACTCCCCAGATGGTGTCCTGGGGGGTTCGCTCTATTTGATGTGCATCAAAGGGAGGATCCTTATCCCAGGATTTGACCTTGATGTGGCAATAAGCCAACAGTCAGGTTGGTTGGTTCAGGATACATAATGCCTAAGCCAAAACCTACCTACATCTGCAATCAATAAAGCTATGGCCATTTCCATCCCAAGACATTGTCAACTCATTTTTCTGCTTCCCAAGCCTGCTCCCGTCCCCCCAGCAGCCCAGGTCTCCCTGCACATGGGCTTGCAAAGTGCCATCTGAATGCAGCTTTAGCTAAAGTTTTGAAAAAGTGCTTTCAGCGTGTATTGCAACGCCCCTGCCAGGCTTCAGAGTATTCAGCAGGTCCAGGTTTTCTCCAAAATTCTCAAGCCTTTAGCAAACCTACATGGGGAACCTGATCTTAGTTTCATCTGCATAAGGAAATTGCCTGGTTTCAGGTTCCACTGTGAGCAGCCAGCACAGTCCTCATAACAATTCCTCTCTGATTTATGCTATTTTTCCTTCAGGCTTTCTAATTCCTGCAAGAAAGAAGCTTGCTTATGCTTTATGGCTTTTGCTTATGAACATGACGCATAGCAAGAATATTGATTGCTTCACCAACTCCACTTATAACTAGGCAGGTTAAATACATTGACTAATATGCTTAGAAAATGTAAGTACAATAGTTCTCATGTCGTTGTTTGGCAAAGTTCCCAGGGAGGGGAGGGGAAGAACAGCATCACCTTCGGGTGCTTCTCAGACTTAATAGCAAGAGTTCTGCCTGTACCAGTGTTCCCTTATCAGTAATTTCTGGGTATCCATTCTGCAGAAAGGAACTCTTGCTGGAAGAAAGGTGGATTGATTTGATCATTAATCCTGTATAGTGGCTTTCTTTGGCTTCATCGGCATGACGTCAAAATGAATCGGCTGAAGGCGTCCAGTGTGAGATGGAGTCTGACATCAACACGTTTTCACAAGCTCATAATCTCCCCATCTAGGAACTGCATGATCCAAGCCTTTAGCAGCATGCTGGTTTTAAAAAGGATGGCAGTGCTTGCTGAATTTTCCTATGGGCTGCAACAGCCCAATGGGACTATGTGGACAACTCTTGCTTGAGTTGTCCAGAGCTTTAAGCGCATGGTTTAAATCGGAAGTCTCTGCTCTGCTATAGCTTATTTCAGAGAATTATGGGAAGTTTGGGGCAGCATTTCTATTCTCATCACCCAGTTAGAGTTTCCAGGAGTAGAGTTTAGTGCAAAAGGACTGTGACCTCAGTTCAGTTCTGAGACTGAAAGAAGGATCTCATGCTGGGAATGTGCTCAGAGGCACCCTGTCCTGCAATTCTAACTCTATGGGCTAGTGCAATGATTAGCACTAGCACAAAGCACAAAGAGATTTTTGCCCCTCTCCTTCCCCCATGCACGCCTTCTGCTCTGGAGGGTTGTGGGAATCTTCAGAATAGATTTAGTGGGTGCACAGGGGTAGCAGTGGAGGAGAACGTTTCATCACCCAAGGAAAAATCCTTGCCCTGGCGGAATGTTCACCTTGAATCTTCTGTTCCTGACTCTGGTTGGCAGGCCTTGGAGTGCCAGTGAAAAGCAATGTAGATCTGACACTCTCAGAGTCTACACATAAGCGAAGCATTTGCATTAGTAAAATAATTCAGAATGTGTGGGTAAGAAGTCACAAGTGAAAGAATAGCAGAGACATGTTTAAAAGGTTATTTCCTTTGGTCAGAGCACAGCCATTTTTGTAACATCAGGCCTATAGAGTACCAGATCTCTTCATTCTTTCTTTATACACACTTTGTGGGTTCTTTACACGGCTGATTCTAGACAGACATCCTCTCCAAAAGCTCCCTGTCATCAACTCCTGCAGGCCAATTTAAGATGAGATGCTCTTTTTGTCGGTGATTGGCATCATCATCGTCATCATTATGTAAAAATGCACCGGAGAAGTGTTCTGTTTACAAATTTCCTGGAGCGGGAAAGGAAGGGAGGGAGAGGATGGATTCTGACAAAGAGCTGAGATGCAGGAATCCCTAAGCGGGTGAACATTATAGGAATGGCATCTGCATGGTGGAATGTTCCAAGATGTCACAGACAAGTGACGAGACCGCAGTTTGCCACCCGACTGTGAGACAGCAGGCAACAACACCGGCACCTATCTCTCTCTGAACAAAAGTGGCTGTGCACACACCATACATTTAAATCACATTTCCTGGGAATGGTAGTTTGTTAAGGGTGCTAGGAAGCATAGTTCTGTTGGTGTAAACTACAGATCTCAGGATTCTTGCAGGGTATGTGTGTGCCCTAAAGGTAAGGTGTGTCTGCTGCCACAAAGTACATGTTTGAGTTTTCCCTTTTAATTGGCTCCACCAGCAAATTCTGGCCGCTTGTCGCCAAGGGAAAGAGCATTTTCACTGGAGTTTCTACAAGCTGTACATCTTGACACTTTCCATTTTAACCACACGCAGCAAATCTAGGGCTGGAGGGAGGGAATCGGCACAGTAAGTGGGGG